CAGCCAATCGGGTCCCATTTCAGCCAGGCTCCTCCAATCACAGCGGATCCTTAATTAACCAGTTTAAACGTGACTGTGTGATGGCCTCCAGCCTCCAACCCAGAAAATATGGAGGTTTTCTCCTCCTGCTCATTAGGCCCGAGTGTTCCAGCAGAATCAGGCTGGATCTGGACCTGGTTCTGGTTCTGGATCTGGTTCTGGATTTGGACTCATATTCCTGTATGGCTGCTGCAAACAGAGACTCAGAGGAGTGAAAACCAGGCGAAAGCCCCGCCTACCACCACTGGACAGATGTGGGGGGAAAGGGGGAAGTCACTGTTTGATGTCTCATGTTTTTGTTTGTCCCCTTTTTCATGATGTTTGTGGTGCTGATTGTTAATAAAGCGTTGAGCTGCTGTCTGTGTCACAGACGTTACTCAGAAACCCAGCGGGGACCAGAACCAAGCAGGGACCAGAACCAAGCAGGGACCAGAACCAAGCAGGGACCAGACCAGACCAGTAAAACCAGGAACACCAGGAGGAGACGGCTGGTTTTCCTCTGGACCCAGGCCCCTCAGAGGGAAACCAACTGGTTCTTTATTCCCTCTGGAGACTTTTCTGGTCCCTCAAAGGGGAACCGACTGGTTCTTTAGTTCCTCTGGAGGCTCTTTTGGTCCCTCAGAGGGGAACCGACTGGTTCTTAAGTTCCTCTGGAGGCTCTTTTGGTCCCTCAGAGACCAGAAGAGCGTCCAGAGGTTCTTTAGTCCGTCTTGAGGGTTCTGGATCCAGATCAGAACTTCCTTCCTGAGCTGTGCACAAACTCCTCAAACCACCTCAGCTGCTCCTCCAAGTTACACAAACCTTTGCTGCTCGCTCACATCACACAAAACTTCACGTTAGACTCCAGGACAAAGACTTGTTTTCCTCTCATCTGCATACAGACACATTTATTTCCTCTATTTGGTATTCAAATCTGTCCAAGATAGATATATAGATTAATTCTCTTCCAGAGTGTCTCTGCTCCTAAAGTCTCTTCTTTCCTGGTAGCATGTAGCATCAATGGATGCTAGCTGTGGGATCTGTGTTGTAGATGGATGTAAAAGCCTTAATGCTAAACCCTCTGCTAGCATGTAGCATCAGGCTGAGCTCAGATTGGAGCTGGAGGTTACAGCCTGTTCTGGGTAAAAGCGTCTAGATGCAGACATGTAAAATGTAAATTAAATCAGGTTTGATAATTGATGGCAGCTGACATGGAGCACAGAAGGAGCTGAGCATTAACTTGTCTGAGTTGCAGCAGATGTCCTGCTTGATAAAAGCAGAATCTGGAACTGACTTCTCTCCAAAGGATCTTATTGAACGTGGTGTCATTGTGTAGAGGAATTGGATATTGATTGTTCGAATCCTATTCAGAATCCCAATACAAAGAGGGGCAGCATAAGGGCAAAAAGCATATGGTCGGCGGGGGTCGGCATCCACGGGGGGGCAAATAAAGAGGCCGAGCTGCTGCTGAATCCTATGAATGAGCAGCAGCTGTCTGCCTTCCTGGAGCCTTTCTGTCCACATTCACCTGTTTTTTTATGGGTCCAGAGCTAATTACTGTTTCAAATCCATCTTTAAAGTTCCAAAAATGTTTCCCCAGTAACTCAAAATTATGCTAATGGTTGAAATCTGGTTAATAATCGTCCTAAACACACTTTATTACCCTCCAGCTGCATGTTCTATCCGAAGCAAACAGTGTCCAATGCTAGGCTAACTACCTTAGTCAACTAGCTTACTTTGATAAGCTACAAGCAAATGTCTTTTTTTACAAGACTTAGGAGGTGAAAGGGCTCCAAAAAAGATGATAATGTCACTTATGTCACATTTTGAAGTCTCATGTGAGGAAAAACCAGAGAGCCCACAGGTTAAAATCAGGTTTAGCTTAAACGTTAGCAGCTACACGACATGTGAACGGCAGCTAACTGCTAAGCTGTGCTTTTCCAAATTATATGGGGAGCTCATTTCAACCTGTGTTTGTTCAAAAACATGCAATTTCTGTTTTCTCTGTAGCAACATTAATGAAATAATGAGATCAGCTTCTGAATCAGGTGACATAAAGAAGCCATGAAACCCTCAGACAGATGAACCTCATATCATGAGATCGCATCTGTCATTTTCTTCCTTTTCCTTCTGTAATATTTGATCTGCGTGACTTAAATATTTGATTTAATCACACTTTATGTTGCACAAAACAGGTTTTTGTGGAGCAGCCCCAGTCAGACACATCCTCTAAAACATGAAGCCGTTTAAAGGTTTTCCTCACATGCTGGAACTCAGCTTTTGTTTCACAAACGCTTCCTGATTAGTGGACCCCCCCCCCCCCATGTGGGCGTAATCTGCAGCATGTGATGCAGCGATGCAGGAAAACCTGCAGCTCTCAGAGGGCCGGCCGCTCGGCTCTGAGGGGATTTAGGGGCAAACGGCCCCTCTGGGACACAGGCTGGATTCCCTCTACTAAATGCTTGTTTGTACACAAGCAGGAAATCTGAATCACCAGGGTCCAGGGTCTCTGACCTGGGGGTCTGAGTCTGGTTTTTCTGTCCTGGGCTGGGTCCAGGGTCTCTGTCCTGGGGAGCCTGGTCCAGGGTCTCTGTCTAGGGGGGCGGGGTCCATGGTCTCTGTCTTGGGGGTCCGAGTCCAGGGTCTCTTTCCAGGGGGACCAGGTCCAGGGTCCTTGTCCTAGGGGGCCAGGTCCAGGGTCTCTGTCTTGGGGGACCAGGTCCAGGGTCTCTGTACTGGGGGGCCGGGTCAAAGGTCTCTGTCCTTGGGGTCCAAGTCTGGTGTTTCTGTCCTGGGGGGCCAGGTCCAGGGTCCTTGTCCTGGGGGTCAGAGTCCGGTGTTTCTGTCCAGGTCCAGGGTCTCTGTCTTGGGGGTCCGGGTTCAGGGTCCTTGTCTTTGGGGTCCGAGTCCAGTGTTTCTGTCCTGGGGGGCCTGGTCCAGGGTCTCTGTCCTGGGGGGCCTGGTCCAGGGTTTCTGTCCTAGAACTGGTCCATGGTCTCTGTCCTGGAACCAGTCTTTGAGCTCCTGAATCCCCACCTTCCAAATCAACACACACAAGCCTCTCGAATAAAAGTAGAATAATTTATTTCCTGAGCTGCTTCCTGTCTCTTCACAGCAGGTTCTGACATACAGGTATATAGACACAGAATATGCTAGAGCCCCCCCCCCTGCCCCCCCCTAGCTGGCGGGCAGCAGCAGGATGAATCCGTCCCGGCTCTTCTTGAAGTCGGCGGCGGCCTGGCCGGCGCGGTGCTCCACACTGACGCTTTTCGGCTTCCCCCTCATGTGCAGCTGCAGAGCCGAGCGGCAAACCGTCACCGGAAGCTGCTGCTTCCTGATGCTGCACACAGACAAAGGTCTGGGAGTCAGGCAGGTAAAAAAAGGATCATGGGAACCCCCCCATCCAGAGAACTCAAGAGTTCTGCTGGTTCTCCTCCAGAATGAGGCTTCATTTCCTGGAAATCAGCTCTGTTCCAGCATCCAAAAATGAAGGAAACTTTGTGGTGATGTGCTGAAACCAGTCGACTAAAAGCTGGAACTCAGAGCTGTGGATCATTTTAGAAACATTTATCCTCTAAAAATGAGCTAATTTAATCCAAAAAGAATTTAAAAACTGTTTTTCCACAACAATCTGAAATAATTCCTCAAATTTCCCTGGGGAATCAAATAAAATACTAAAAGAAATCAAATAATTTAGAATATCTGAAATTTAAACATTGAATTCCTGCTTTCTGCCTTCAGAACCAGCTCTGATTTCCACTAAATGAGCTCTGTTCCAGTAAATATTACAGACAGAAGTGGAAACATGAGTTCAGGAACTGAAACAGGTTGATTTCAGAGCAAAAACAGATTCAGTTTAACCTGAGAGGACAAAATGATGCTTAAAGTCTCTCACTGCTCAGTTTGATGAATAATCCTCTGAAAATAGGAGCTGATTTTACACTAAAATGATGCGAAAGACGTCACTTTTTACTCAAGAAGCTGAAAAAATCCCCAAAATTAGTTTGGGAATCAGATAAATTACTAAAAGAAATAAAAATCTGAACATCTGAATTTAAACCTTGAATTCCTGCTTTTCTCCTCCAGATTTCCACTAAATGAGCTCTGTTCCAGCAGATATTACAGACAGAAGTAGAAACATGAGTTCAGGAGCTGCTTCTCTGAGCAGCAGAAACTCAACATTTGTTTTTTTGGGGGATGTTTTCAGCTCTGGTGATCATGCTGAGTCTCTCCTGTTACTCTCACTCATCCTGGGTCTAGAACAGGTGTC